TCTCTCATCTTTCCTGGTTATAATAAGAATGCAATCAGAATTTGCCATTCAAACTCCATCCAAACCTGTGAGTAATTAACTAATGTAAGAAAAATGTTCTGTGTAATATGCATAATACATGATTTTTATTTTTATTTTTTATTTTTGGAAAGACTCCAAAACTTGTCACAACAAAGATGGGAAACAACTCCAACATGCACAAATATTTGATCACACAGCATGCAATTAATTTGCACAAAATGTAATGTCCATTGTAATATCTGCTACTCAGAGATGGTAATGACTCTCAAAGTGGTGCCAATGAGAATGGATAAGAGAACTGATAAGGAATTAAATCAATAAGCAATAGTGATAGTGGAATTGGAATTGCTAAGTTCTTATCAATTCTTATCTCATAGTACTATATCACCCCAATAGATACCTCACTTTCAGACTGATGGCTTACTTGTTGTTGCTAGGATAATTAAAAGCGGAATGGGAGACAGATCTTCAGCTTTGGGGCCTCTCTTCTTTGTAGCTGATTGTTTTTCCCCTGCAGAGAGAAATTACAAAGTTGGAGGGAGCTGCATGCATAAAGCTGACACTAAAAAATTAACAAGCTCTGATAGTAAGCTACAAAGTACAGCAAGCTGCCCATACCTGAGGCCCTGGAATCTGCCAAAAAAGACTCATAGCCTTGGCCATCTGCTTGAAGAGGTATACCAGGGAGCTGGAAGGCAGGAGAAACCAGCTGTGCTCCACAGAACCATCTGAGGTATACTACCATTGTCAGGGGAATGAGAACAGCCCCATCAAAGCTGGAGACGAAACACTACTGGAAGAGTATATGGGAGAAGGACGCAACCCATAACAGTAATGCACACTGACCGAAGAAGCTGACTGTACTCCAAGAGTTCAAATGAACTGAAGCATATATTTTGTAAATTCAGTCAAACAGAATAAAGAACAAACAATCAAGGACTCAGCAGCCAATTTTTATTGAAAAAAAAAGCCCTTCAAAACAAAGTTCCAAACTAGATTTTTACTTAGATTATCAATCAAATACCTCACTAAATTAAAGCCTTCAGTTAATCCAAAATGCTGTAGCAGGAGTACTGACATGGACTAGAAAGAGAAAGCATATTTCCTTATATTGGCTTCCCTTCATTGGCTCTGTGTTAAATCCAGAATTGAATTCAAAATCCTGCTTTCACTCATGTGTTTAGGCACCTCTCTACATTTAACTGTTAGTTGGTAGTTATTATCTCTGGCTCTCTTCCACAGTGTGTCTTTGTCCTGTCTTCCTTCCCTCAACCCCAACAGTTGTTGTGATTTGCCATTGTATAAATAAAATTGAATTGAATTGAATGGCTTGCTAGAGTACTCCCACTCAAATTCAAATTTAATTAGTAGGCATCTATTAGCTGATCACGTAGGTCAATCACACCTCAGGGATCATTACAAAGGGGCAGCTTGACCAGCTGTGGCTGCGTCTTACTCTCTTTTGTTTCGCACTTTCTGTATGTGAATAGAGTGTTTGTAGTAAAAGGCTGGACAGGTAACTGTGGGTACCCTGTATACATGCGACAATATAGTTTCTAGCGACAACTGCTAGAAACTAGTGA